TTACCTCTTTCTTTGTTACTACCTGATGAAATTTTGTGCGCCTGATAGCATCGTATGACAAGACTATCGGACCCTCCCTTTCGCGTGTCACCATTTCTCTGACAGCTTGATAATTGATATGTTGATTGTTATTGAAGTTTAATGTGATACCTTTAACTTTACACACTTCTTTTGTCTCATTATTACTTGTTTGAACTAGGTACGCATAGAATTTGGGGCCCCCTGATACAAAAGACTTGATATAACTACCCTCCCCGTAACCTTCTAGCTCATTTGTCAAATCACCGAGAAATTTACCGCATTCTGGTTCCCACTCACCGTCTTTTGATACAAATATAATGGAATCTGTATCACAATATAGAACCCTCTCTTGAAGTCTCTCTAAGTAACTGTACAGTTTGAGACGAGCCTGTGCTGTTGTGTAGGCCGCAATAACAACGTTAGCTGTGGGTGTCGGTAGAAGCGCCTCATTTTCATATACGTTGCCCGGTGGCCTGGCGTAGTGGTTAAGGCCGTTGCCTCACAGCGGATAGGTTCCAGGTTCGATTCCTGGCCGGGTAGAATGGTGAGATCTAACCATTTTTAAAGTCTTGATCAATCGCCATATAGTCTCATCAGACTCGAAGCGNTTCCTTCGCAAAATATTCTTGTATATAAGCATCTTTATCTTCATCTGTTGAACAACCCTGCGGGTAGTCGGAGGCTTCTTGTTTTTCTTTTAAGAAAGTGTCTACATATTTGTTGAATAACCCGTCTATATTACTTTCCCGGTTGTATTGAACGATCTTGTATTGATAAATTTCAAATATTTTTACGATTCGATAACCGTTTTCAATGGCCTTTCGCAATTCGTCTACAACCCATGTACCTGTAAACTCGCGATCTTCATCGTCTTGGTGATTACAAATTTCCTGATTCAATGTTTCACAACATGAATGACATAACGGAAACATTAAACGCCCATGAGCACGGATTGGAAGTACAGAGAGATATAAATCAGACGGAGCGACAACGGTGCATTTTACAAGGCCCTCCACATTATCAAGATTATTATCACGACCTATCAACACTTGGCACTCGTCGTCTACGTAAACTTGGGGGTGTCCTATTGGGTATTTACCAGTTTTGTTGACAAAAGGGTACAGAGATGTAACATCAAGATATTTGATCTTTTCTGTATTTGCGATATCGTAGAGGGTGACATAATTTTCCGTACGGCCGCCAAAGAAAGCATCACGAGGATTCAATTCTGCATTTTTCATTAAAGGGTGATTGTTTACAAAATCGCGGTCTTGTACGGTATTTTTTAATTGATCATCGAACGTGCACTCCCACATTTCTATCAAAGTGTACCCGAGACGGCGAATCTTATTAGCTGTCAGCATGGTACTTTCATACCGGGTATCAAGTGAGTCTCCTGCACGTAACTCCCTATGTCTGTTTATTTTATAACACGTCGTGCACCCGTGCCAAAAACATCCGTAAAATTGGAAGACACACTTCTGCTGATTCTCATTCTCGCAATAGCCATCGACCATAAAACCGCATGGCAATCGGTATTTTTTGGCGTTAACTGCATGGATAATACGGTTTCCGGAATGTCTTTGCTGCAACAATAACCACGATATAGCTTTCTT